GAAAGGTATTTTAATAATGTAAATTATGTGAAAAATAATGCGTTTTTCGAACCACCAAGCATGAGAGCATGTTCTAGTACACCCCCAAAACAAAATCAAGACTTTGTAAAAGAGCATAATAGGACCCCTTTAAAGCTCTGGCTCCCTCTAGTGTCACTGGCATGAATTCACCACGTTTTACAACTCAAGCACAGAGGCAAGGTTCTTTTATGTATTAGTCAAATAATTACTGTGTAAGTCCACAATGACATCTTTCTTTAAAACATGACAAACGCTGTTTAGACAATAGGACCCCTTTAAAGCTCTGGCTCCCTCTAGTGTCACTGGCATGAATTCACCACGTTTTACAACTCAAGCACAGAGGCAAGGTTCTTTTATGTATTAGTCAAATAATTACTGTGTAAGTCCACAATGACATCTTTCTTTAAAACATGACAAACGTTATCTGTTTAGACTGAAGACGTCAGTAAACAGTAAAAGACTCTTTATAGATACTTTTTGTGACGGCAAAATTATTTTTATTGGGGCAACACTTGTTTAATAACAAACACGTGGTCAGTGCTGTTTTAAAGTCTAATACATGAATTTAGAAAAAGATAAAGGTTTTGTTTACATTGTAATCATGCTTTACGTGTGAGAGTAGTACAGTAGGGTGACCATACGTGCCATTTTCCCAGGACGCGTCCTGGCCAGGATTTCTATATTGCCTAAAATATCTAGGTTTTGGCTTTGTTTGCGTGTGCAGACCGATCGGTGCATGACATCAAAGTACCATACAGACGGTTATGCTTTCGAAACGCTCTCGAGGTACTTTGGTGTCAAACACTGATCGGTCTGAGCCGCACTGCTTTTAAGTCGAACACACCTAATATGTACGCCTAAATTGCATCGCTTTGACCGTCGATCCCACCTTCTCACACGCCATGATTGGTCCATTATGTACAATGTGTGCATGTTATTGGTCAAACTACTTTTCGATCATTACCTTCAGCAAGCATGAAAACAGGAAAACAAAGCCAAAACAAATCCTGGCCAGGACGCGTCCTGGGAAAATGGCACGTATGGTCACCCTATAGTACAGTATTAGTATGTCAAAATCAGTAGGGGACACATTACAGAAGTATTAGTACACTTTTTCTTTTTTTCTACACTGAAAAAGTGCTGTGGAATACAACATTTTCTGATGAGCTCAGAGCTAAAATGTAAAATACAGTGGAAAATGTCCAGTATTAGGTGCACAAACATGTCCTGTCTGACAAGCTGAACAACTAACGGCAGACAAGTAACACCTGCTAGGTTAGGGTTGGATTAAAATGGGCGCCAAACATTCAGGATCTAATCTGTTTGAAAAAAGGAAGTCTATATAATAACTGAAGACAGTTAACCGTTAAAATTCCCATTCATCTCAAACGCAGAAGCAGCCAAACTAGATGTGGCCTTCCTGGAGGCCTCCTGTGAGCAGCCTGTGAGCCAATCACAATGATGTAAATGTCACCTAACTAATCATTCTGGAGCTGCAGGGAAAAAAAAAAAAATCCTGATGGCACCACAAGAACACAGAACATTTTATCAGAATGTGTAGACAAATTAAAACTGTTCATATGAATCCTACCCTGACATTCATCTTCTTAGAAGTGAGGGTACAATAATACAAAATAGTATAAATGCAGTATAAATGCATAATACATTTCAGAAGTGTTAAGAATTGATCTAAAAATGATAGAAAATGTATACAAAATTATGTACAAAAATAGATATCTTTTGTATGCCAATAAAAAACGATACCAGAGTTAGTACATTTTTAAAAGAGCCGATAGCAGAAAAAAATAACTAAGGCTTTTGTTTAGACTTAAGTGTCTATGAATGATTTAAAAGAAAGATTCCAGCAATAGAGCTGAGCTTGCATGAACATGCCTTGCCTAACAGGTAAACAACTACCCACAGAACAAGTAACAGCATGTTGGCAGACCAAAGTTAGATTAAACCGACGCCAAACACTGAAGGCCTACTGTAACACTAGGTATAATCCATTAAAACATATCTATTTGATTTTCCGGATGAATGGTCAGTTATGCTGAGTTACCCACATGAGTGGAGATTACTCAGAAATGTTTGACTGCTCAATAACAACTGACCAATCAAAATCAAGTATTCCAGAAAAAATGAATAATACAAATATAGGATGTTGGTGTATTTGCTAGCATTCTATGACATGGAATGTCAGTGTGAGCTAGAGAAAATGCTGATACTGAAATAGTGATCAAATACTGATGACGCTACCACGACTGAGGTGCCCTTGAGCAAGGCACCGAACCCCCAACTGCTCCCCGGGCGCCGCAGCATAAATGGCTGCCCACTGCTCCGGGTGTGTGTTCACTGCTGTGTGTGTGCACTAAGGATGGGTTAAATGCAGAGCACTAATTCCTAGTATGGGTAACCATACTTGGCCACATGTCATGTCACTTTCAAAATGACTTTTACATGCCTGTTTCATATTATTTGCAAAAAAAATAAAAATAAATGCTAATACCACTGATCATGTCATTTTGCATTAACACTCGAGTATATGATGTGGTGCTCTTCATCTGGTTTCTGAAAGAAAACAAAAGATGAATATCAGGAACTAAAACATGTAAAACAATGAAAAAAAGTGTGTGTATGTTTATATAAGTAGTGTTTGTGTGTATACCAACAGTCTGGTAATGTTCTTGTAATCTTTCCTGTATATAAACACTATAAATTGGCTCATGGTCAGCGGTTGAATACAAAGATAATTACAAGCACAGGACATGATAGCAAAAGCATGATGTTTTATTTGATCGTTTTAAATAACTTTCTTAAATACTGGCAAGTTGTACACACAATTTCTACCAAAAAGAGAATACCTACATCAGAGTATCGCTTTTGAAGGATATTTAGGGGCTTTTTTTTTTTTAAAACACTTTCATTTTTGTCTATGGAGTCTATGGCTGCAAAAAGTCACCTAGCAGTTCCGGCACTGCTTTCCTGGATTTGACTCACCACTGAATCATCAGCATTGATAATAAATGCTTTTGTGATTTGATGACTTACACTATTCATCACTGACTGTGACTGTGTTACAGATGCCTGTGGCTTTTCAGAAGCATAATCACAGTATTTAGTAAACCCTACTGACTCTTAAGAAATGAGAGCACATTTTTGGTATAATGTGTACGTTTCTTAAGTTGTCTGATTAAGTTGTTCATTGTAACCATGAACAACTGAAGCCTAAGCAAAAAAAAACACACTGAGTGAAATAGTGTGGTTTAAACTGCTTGAAAGGCCACATTATGCACAGACAAATAAGGACAAACAGTGACAGCAGCACAGGATGGCACATTTTCTGCTTCATCGCGTGTGCAAGCGCAAACAGATTTTCTCTCAGCATCTGTGGCTTCTGCAGACAGAGTCACTGCACACTGCAATACAGTGTCTTACCGTACTGTGAATACTGCGTGCACAAAATGTTGTCTCGGCATAAAGTACCTCTTCCTCACAAGTCTGAACTGTTTTAATAATAATAATAATAATAATAATAATCACATTTTCAAACTTTAAAAGCACTTTATAAATCTGAAATGGTATTTTAAAAACTGATATTGTAGCACTTTTTCAGAAAAAAAACAAAAACATGATTTTGACCCAGAAAGGTTAATATCATTGAATGAAAAAGGTAATACTTGCCTTCTGGTATTGCTTGTTTGCAGTTCCAGCGGTGAAAGTATACCAACCCTACAACTACAGCCAAGACCAGTATTAATAAGCCAGCTGATATCAGTGGAATAAGATGTGACTTCTGAAGGACATCTGTAATGAGAAATACATGTAAATGAATCCCGCAACTTCAGTCAAGACATTGTAGAATGCAGTTGATCTCTATAAACACCAACGAGAAGTCACAGACAGTGTAAACTGAAGACATTTGATGTGATAACAGAAAAGACAAAATGCAAAACAAACTCAAATCTGCTAATGCTTAAGTGACAAAGACAGTTAAACTACATAAAAAAAGACACTTGAGGTTACACATTTAAACACAATCTTTAGTTTAAAGATCTTAAAGGTAAACCAGCACAACAGTTGTTACCCTGCAGTACTGACAATCATTAACATCATTAACAACAAAAACTACTGAGCAGGGCTGCGTTTCTCGATAACGATTGATCTTAGGACTTAGAGCGTTTTCTACAAGTAATTTTACGATCTTTCGTTATTGTTTCACGTGCGTTTCCCAAAAATGCACTTAATGCAATTTTTTTTTTGGTTCAGTCATTCAGTTTAGATGTGTATTTCTATTTTTTCTGCACTTTTTAATTATTTCATTTATAAATTCATAGTACGATCGTTTTTACAAACTTCTTAGGCTTACGAAGCTTTTGGGAAATGCAGCCCGGCTCAGTAAATAATAGTCACAAATATCACAGCTGACATACCTTTACATCTGTGACAGAGTTGAGTGATGTCCAGATGTTGAGTTTGGTTGCTGATGGGATTGTTGAGCACACAGCTGTAGGTGTTTTTATCCTGATATTCCACCTCCAGAGGTAGAGAGAGACTGATGCTGAGATCAGACGCACTGATGCTGGACAATAAACTGTTTCCTTTGTACCAGGAGAGAGTCACATGACCCACATTCACCACTGAACACAACAATGAACAATTCTGACGTGATCTTTCAGATGGTGAAGAACAGTTTGAAGTGTTTCTGCTGATGACAGGAATGGGAACAGGAGCTAGAAATATTAGAGAAAGAATGTAAAATTAAAACGTTACTCTAAAAATGAAACAAACAACATAACTTTAATTTTACTCAACTATTATTTCTGTGTTATTTTATTAATTTACAGTAACTTTTAAAAAGTGATATTAACACCACCTTAGTTTTTGACTAGACATTTAATCTTACTCACCATAAACAGCAACTGTGAAACTCTTGTGCGAGATTATTCTGTTTCTGATGATCTGTAGTTTATAAAGTCCAGAGTGTTCAGTTCTGATGTTTCTGATGGTCAGAGATCCAGTTTGACTGTCCATCTGGAGTCTTTTCTCAAATGTTGTATTAGTGGCATCTATATAGATGTTCTGTCTGTTGATTTCAGCTATAACAGTGTCTGGATTGTCAGCTTTAAACATCCACATTATCTGATCATCTTTCTGTACTTTATCATCAGTGTTTAGAGTGACAGAACTTCCCTTCATCACTGATACTGATTTCACTGCATCTGTATCGCAAAGCACACCTGAAACACAACAAACATTTTTTATTCATGTTTGTTTGGTTTAAACAAGTTTAGAGAAAAATGCATGTCAAAATGAGCAATTCCACAAAAAACGCTTGTTCAAACAAATACGTGCCATAATACGTAATGATATACCACACACAAAAAAATAAATAAATAATACACCCTCTTCATGAACTGAACTGCAGTCCGTTGTTTATTCTTGCAGACAGGATGTTTTCCAGATGTTGAACTCCAGAACTGAACATGTCGATATAAGATAAAAATGGCTAATTTTGGAGTCAAACACCATATAATAGAATGAGGGGGGAAATACTTACCACGTGAGAACCAAATCCACAGACAGAAGAAAAAAGATTTATGAACCATATTCACAAAATCCGATCAAACTCCTCATGATTTAGTAGAGGCGATTGTTTGATTGATGAAATCCAAAAACATAAAATGACGAATTCGTTCCGTTCTTCTCAAACGATAAAAAAGTCGAAGTAGATATTAAAGTAAACACGCTTAAACAACGCCCATATCGAGGAATAACGTTAGTAACGTTTTCGCTTTATGTGCTCAAGATGGTAGAAAGCCGCTGATTCCTAAACCTGCCAATCTCCACCCCCAGGATGTGGATCCAACCACGCCCCCTGGATCTTGTGTTCTACAGTGAGTGGCTACTGCAGGCCATAGGCCTACAGTAAACCTGGTGTGGATATCAGTCATTGAGACGTCTTTGCAGTGGCTATATGAACATCAGGGAAAATTCAGCTCTTTCACTGACACAAACAGGATGAAGACTTTGAGCAGGAACTGTGTTGTAGTGCATATTTTTGCACGGATCGTTTTTATTTTGTTCAACTTGTGGTTTGCAGCTCTTCTCTCATCTTAACTCCTTTCTGACATTTTCCTCTCAGCAAATAAAATAATACCAATAATCCTTGTTGAGTACAGCTCTGATCAAGTTAAGTGTTTTTCATGAGTTCCTAGATCTCTAATATAAATACCAGTTTTATTATTTTACTTGTATTTAGACTGAAAAGTCTACATAAGTCTACACAAATTATGTAAAGTTATATTGAATAGTTAATGCCATTTCATTTCTATAGCCACTATTTCACACTATCTAGAAATGTTCTGACACTTTGGGTTTTGGTTGGCCACTATTTCCTGAAATGTTCTTATGTTGAAAGAAGTGTGTGTGATAAATGTGCATGTGTGTGTGAATAATATGCCTGTGCTATTCCTGTGTTTAACAAAAATAATTTAAATGCCATCCTTTATGTTCACAGTTCTATACTGCCAATTGTGATTTACACAAAGGAATCTACACAAATGCCTGGTGTTTTGTGGGAATTGTACAACTGGTTTCTATATTCAATCTCAGTTGACTCATTGTTCTCTCTCATGGGAACTCAAGGTCAAGGTCAGCCACCATCCTCAATGCAGACTTCTATTTCCTCAGAGCAACAAGTCCATGTAAGCTTTTCTGTCAACTATATTTTCTTTCTTCTAGCTTTTCCGCTATCACATGTGTGTCTCAGTTCTGTGCAACTTCCTCAACATGTGAGTGTGTTTCTGTTCAAGTCCACAGCCAATCATTTTTACAGCATCTATTGGCAGTTTCTGGTCAAAGTTCATCAGAACATCTTATTTTATTTGAATTTATACATTTATGTGATGAAGTGTGTTTTGTTTTAACGTAATGCTGTGACACATTTACTTTTTTCTTTCTACAGCACTGATACAGGCCCTAGGTTAATCTGCAGCCCTTTGGCCACAAACACTGTTTCCACAGCATGTTCTGCACACCTACTGCGTCTCATATCTCCAGTAATAGACAGCCGTACCACATCTGACAGCGCATCTCATTATGAGCAGAGCAGGTTATATGTCAGCATGCATGAAGCATTTGTTCTGTGCATTAAAAAAGCAAGGTCTTGTGCAGGTCTGCTTGGATGCAAAACAGAAATATGAACAGAAATAAGAAAGACTTTGTGGTAACAGACAGAATTATATATATATATATATATATATATATATATCTGTAATACTTTGCATTTACTTTTATTGCTTTATACCATTTTGTTTTCTCATTTTCTGCAACACTAAAGCCTGAATTTATAATTGGTGTGAATATTAAAGTGGTCAAATTATGAAAAATCTAATTTCCCCTTGATCTTTTGAAATACAGCATACTATATATCACTCAAAACGTACTCCTAAAAAGTCAATTTATTGGACCTAATCTGCAAAAATGGTTCAATTTCTGTTTCTGTGGTTCACTAATGCTCTTCATCTAGACTAGCTAAAGATGCTTCAATTGTGTTATTGATTAATAAAGGACTTTATTACTTTCCATAAAATAAACATACAGAAAGCTTCTTACAAGTTTAATCTTAATCATTTTTGTCTTGAGCTTTAGTCTTTAATATGAGCCTTATTCCAGAGTAAAAAATTATAAACTCTTGATTACTGTTTCATAATGTCACATAACTACATGTGACAGACTCACTTTTAACCACAAGTCACTTCCTGTAAACACTCTGAAAATGCCCAGTCTTTGTTTGGTACAATTTCCTACAGTACAAATGGCAGCTTAGAGCAATGCGTCGACTTTAATTACAGAAGAGCGGAAACTGACATCTGATGTTTTGTTTTTCCTCTCAGCAACAAGCAGCTGCAAGGTGGTACAATGGTCACAGTGGATGACATCTGCACTAAATGATCTTTATAGGGCTGCACAAACAAATGGTGTGATGGGGGGCTTTTATTTCCCTGCAACTACATACAACATCTGCTTTATATAAAGTGAAATTGCAGCATAAAAACAATGAAGTACAATAGTCTTTTTGTGAAGGCAGTGAATGAAGCATAACTCTCTGAAGACCATTAGGGGCGTTCAGGACTTGCGTCCATCAGCGTGGTTTTAATTCTTTTTCTATATGAATATGCACTAGTTGGATGTCTTTGATAATCACATAAATTTATCATAGGCCCATTACGGAAATAATTGGTATGTTGTATATAAGATGCTTTAAATACTGTCTAGCCCCCCTCTGGTGATGTTTGTTTAACTCTAAACATTACATGGATGCACAAGATGAAATTTGCTTTATTAGACATCAAAGTGAAAAAGTAAAGGACTGCTGCAAATCTTTTTAGGTAACAGATAAAAAAGTATTTCGCAATAACAGTCAACATTTAATATGTAGGCCCAATAATACAAATTAACATGTATATATTATTAAGTATATAATACAAAATCTAATTGAATTCAGTAACTCCTACACAGGAACTCTGGGTCTGCTGATATTCTCCTGAAATCTGCCTTTTGAGTTTTGAGTGTTGATATTTCACAGCTGTCTCGGTTCTGCCCACATCCAACAGTGATTTCTGTAGAGACAGAGAGAAACACACATTTCACAAACTAATCAGTAACTATAGGCTACTGTAAAAATATAGTGTCTAAAACCGAGAACCGGATTCAGAATTGACGGCTAGTTTGTGACAGTCTCCCGAGTAACCCGCAATAATTTTGCTCAACGGCGTCGCAACACAACTACTGAACAGTCGTGTTCAGATGAACTGTTTACTGACCTGTGGCAGATCTCCCATCTGAACGCAGTAGACTATCTGTGTATATTCTGACATGATTTTCTGTTCTGATGTCAGATCTACAAACACAAACACTTGGATCAGTGTGAGAAGATTTTGAGCGTATTTAAGCATTACACATACCTCATGATATGATCATCATTTATGATGACTAAATAAAGCAATATGCGTTCCTATGCTATTTCCTTTGACATCAAAACAGGATGTACTGCCTCTAGTGGATAGCACACCAATATACAGTGTTTGAAGTTTAAATGACTTGTAACTGTACCATATGTTTTCATACACAGTTTTAAAAATGTACAGTTTATGTTGTAAATAAACGGGAATTTACTTACTGATCTGTTTGAGCAGGTGGCCTAAACAATCAGGACTAATCAGAATTATTGTACTAAGTGCATTATTTGTCTAAGACCACATCATGAATAAACAAATCAGTATGAACCACAAGGAAACAAAACGTTTTTTCTCTGAGCTCCTGTGGTTTCCGCAGATGCATTATCTACTGCATACATACAGTGTATCATTGTAGTGTAAACACAAAATTTTAAACTGTAATGAGTCTCTTCCTCACAAGTCTGAAGTTTTAATACTAATGTTCAGATTTAACACTAATAAAATAGATTCTGATTCTGATACATTACTTCCAGCACATCTTTATAACACTTGATGTTGTCCCAGAAAGTCTCATATCATTTATTGAAATACTTGCCCTCTGATCTCGCTTGTTTGCCGATCCTGCGGTGAAAGTATATCACTCCCACAGCTAAAGCCATGACCAGTAATCTCACTACACCAGCTAGTTTCAGTGGAATAAGTTGTGACAGCTGAATGACATCTACAGTAATACATGTGCAGTAATTGAGTCCTAAAAGACATTGTAGAATGCTGTTGATCTCCATATAAGCTGTCATTATGAAGTCACAAACAGTGTAGAAGACATTTGATGTGTTGGTAAAAGAAAACAAACCAAAATCAGTGACAATGTGAGTTGACCTTTAAAATACATTTGAGAGTAACAAAATATTCATTATATACATTCAGTATATAATTATTAATGTCACTGCTAACGTACACGTGTGACAGACACGACTGGTGTCCAGATGTTGAGTTTGGTTGCTGATGGGATTGTTGAGCACACAGCTGTAGCTGTTTTTATCCTGATATTCCACCTCCAGAGGTAGAGAGAGACTGATGCTGAGATCAGACGCACTGATGCTGGACAATAAACTGTTTCCTTTGTACCAGGAGAGAGTCACATGACCCACATTCACCACTGAACACACCGGTGAACAATTCTGATTGGAGGATGTTTCTGAAGATGATACAAAAACATGCTAATACAAATTCTCAAAAGAAAGTCTAAGAAGTTACTTATTTGAAATTTTGAATTGACCCACAGCTAAAACAAAAGCCATTAGCCATTAGAACTAATAAAAGCTGTTGAATTTGTAGTTTTTGCTTTATGTAAGCCCACGCTATTCAATTAAGGTTACAACGTGGGTGGTTTTATTACTGTTAGTAGTAGTTATGTGGTTCATCTTTATCCCTTCCTTGAAAAAAAGAACCCAAAAATTCAGAACCAAATCAAGACAACCATACAGAAGCCAAAAAGCCACTTCTTGATGCTTGTTCTTTAGGAATATACATTTTTAGTGAAAATTGCCCTGCCCCTCACAGTTCAGCTACAATCAACATTAGTCTTTGAAATGTCTTCACAGCAGCTATATGCACATCAGAAAATGATGTCTTTCATAGACACAAACAGGATGAAGACTGTGACCTCTTTGTGCTGTACGGAAACATTACTCGTTCAACTTTGTGATTTGTAAATCTAATCTACATCTTCTTCCTGTCAATTTCCTCTAAGCAAGAAAAAACTATCCCTTCAGATTTTACAACTCCATAATTGATCAGCTCAATATTTTCATTACATGCATGTCATAAATCACATCCACAGAGTCCATTCGCAGCTGATCATTGAATAGCTCATTTCAATTCATGTCTATTCCCACTCGTTCACACTATCTAGAGATTTTCTGACACTTTGGGTTCTGGTTGGCCACTATTTCCTGTACAACAA